AACGTAACAATTGCCGTTTGGATTCCTGCTTAGCCAGAAATGGCAATCACTGTCCGGTGGCTCTGAAATGCTGTAGCGGGAATAAACCCAACAAACTCGAGACTGACCTGGGATGTTATGCGTATAAGAGGTGTATGCATTAAATGGGCTCATGCTGTGTACTCCAAACTTTCACCACCACTAACATCCATTCATGATCACTTAGCTAGCGCTAAGCCATACCTCACGCACTAGCACGGCTTATCACAAGTTGGAAGAGGAGGCGATGGCTGCCTAATTATAATGGACAACTCTTAATATCCAATCAAACATCGCGTAGCCAACATCACCAATCGTCAACAACACAATGACCCCTCAGTGCCATTTTATATAAAAAGGAACCCGTCTGATAGATCGAGTTCACACTGGATAAGTCTATTGGCCAACCTAAAGAACTTCTTACCCTCCAAGAACGAATTTCAGTTTCTCGAATCTTGTATCACGCCATGGCAGATAGCGCTCCCAAAGAAGCCGAGCCGGAGCGGCGCGAGGCTCTTGACATCCTCGATGCCAAAGCCTCTCAGTTGGTGAATCTAATCAAGAAAAGCAAGCACTTCATTGCCTTTACCGGTGCAGGTATCTCTACCTCTGCAGGTGAGCTTTATCCTCCATTAATATGAGATGCAAGTCGCGCGATTCGGCTGGGCCGCCCTAGTTGTTTGGTCTACATAATCAAAAAAACATTCGGGGCTGAACAATGGTAACTTAGGAATTCCCGACTTCCGCGGACCTGAAGGTGCCTGGACACTCAGAGCCCAGGGAAGACAGAGAACGGGCAAGACGACGGACACGCTCCAGGCCATCCCTACCAAGACGCACATGGCGCTCGTTGAGCTGCAGGACCGCGGCATATTAAAGTATCTCGTCAGTCAAAACTGCGACGGCTTGCACCGGAAGAGTGGAATTCTACCAGTAAGCTTCTGGCTTATCACTGCTGGGGTTCGGAGAGTTGATCAGACAATGGCTTACGCTTGTTATTATCCTTCGTCCAGGAGAAGATTTCCGAGCTTCATGGAAATAGTAACCGCGAGCATTGCAAAGACTGCGGTAAAGAATACCTCCGAGGTATCGTACCCCCTTTTCATCACCAAACCCTTATCATCACTGCAGATACTAACGGAGAACAACCAGACTTCCGCGCCGTGGCAACCTACGAAAAATCAATCCGCGACCACCGCACCGGCCGCAAATGCCCCCTCTGCAACGGCACCCTCCTCGACACAATCATAAACTTTGGCGAATACCTCCCCGCTCAACCCCTCGCCCTCGCCCGCTCCAACGCACGAAAAGCAGACCTCTGCCTCGCCCTCGGATCTTCCCTGACCGTGCCCCCCGCCTGCACGATCCCCGAAACCGTCGGCAAGAAGAAGCGCACAAAGACGTACCCGGACGGCGGGACGCTCGTGATTTGTAACTTGCAGAGTACCCCGCTGGATGACCTGAGCGAGGAGCTCCGCGTATGGGCCACGACGGATGATTTGATGGATCGGGTGATGGAGAAACTCGAAATCCCTATCCCGCGGTTTGTGCTGAGGCGGAGGTTGGTGGTTGAGGTTGAGGCGGTAGGGGAGGAGAGGTATCAGCTTACGGCGAGGGGTGTGGATGTCGACGGCACGCCCGCGAGCTTTTTGCAGTCTGTGAGGATGCAAGGGAACAGGCGCGTTGCGCGGACCGAGCCGTTTACGATTCCTTTCCGGAGCGAGTTGGCTGCTGAGGCCAAGATCATGGCGGAGCTAGAGTTTATGGGACACTATGGCGAGCCTGTCTTGGAGATTGGGATGGAGTATAACGGAGAGGAGAAGCTGGAGAGGATGTATCTGCTGGAATATGATCCTTCGACTGGGGCTTGGAAGGTTAGTACACAAGATGATGGGACTTTTGCTGGGCGGGGTGGCACGGCCGGGACAGACGAGGACATGGAGGATTCGCTGATGATTTCGGCCGAGGACGCGGGTGTGCCTAGCCATATCATCGCCTCGTCTGCGGCCAGTGAGGTCATCGACCTAACTTCACCTTGAGGTAGCGTGCCTGCTTCTGGAGGACTGAATAACGAACGGTTGATCTGGCATGAGAAGTAGCTCTCTGCTGTCGGGATTTCGAAAAGGATTAAGTATGTCATCTATCTCTTGATGAACGAATCCATCAATCGTAATGAGTAGCAAATCAGAAATGACATCCGAGAACAACAAATATATCATCAACATAGCTGCATGAAAGCAACATTACTCAATTTTTGTAAGGTACGACTATAGCTATGAACACGCATTACATATCCCATATCCACAAAGTGTCGTGTGAACGTTAATTTTCATGAATTACACATTAAACAAAAGCTCGCTTGAACGTCCATTAAGCATGCGCATGGCTCGTATCAGAGCAGAGCAGCAACCACGACACCAGCGGCTGCGGCCATGATGCCGGAGCCAAGACGCTCAGCAGCGTTGGTGACCTGAACTGGTCCGGTGGTGGTCTTGCTGGGCGAGGCGACGGGCGTCGTGGCAGCGGGAGGAGGGGTACCAGCAGGAGGAGTTCCGGCAGGAGGTGCAGAAGGTGTGCCAGCCGGAGGGGGAACGGGAGTACCGGCGGGAGGGGTGCCAGCGGGTGGGGCAGGGTGAGTGCTCGCTGGCGGCGCGGGAGGAGTGCCAGCCGGGGGAGTACCAGCAGGAGGCGCCGGGTGGGTGCTGGCGGGAGGAGCAGGAGGGGTTCCGGCAGGAGGGGTGCCAGCGGGCGGCGGAGGAGGCGGGCTGCTGGGCGCGGGGTGCACAGTGGTGAAAGTGTGAGGCACGCTCTCGGTGACAGGGCAGATGGTGGTGGAGACAGGAATAGTCTCGGTGGTGGTGTGAGGACCCTCGGGGCAGTTGGGAGTATCAGGAGGGCACTTGGTGATGGTGTGGACCCTGGTAGTGTAAACCGTGGAAGTCGTCCAGGTCGTTGGTGGAGGAGCTGGGTGGGTGGGAACAGGCTTTGTAGACTCCTCGGTAACGGGGCAGATGGTCGTCGAGACGGCGATTGTCTTGGTTGTGGTAACAGGCGTGTGAGGGCAGTTTGTGACGCCGGGGGGGCATCTCGTCACGGTCTCGACAGTCGTAGTGTAGACGGTGGAAGTCGTCAGCTTGCTGGTGCGAGTCTTGGTGTGAGGAGGCTTCTCGGTTGTCGTGTTGGCGTAGGGGGTGGTCGTGGGAGGAGGAGGGACCCAGGTGGAAGACTTGCTGGGGTGAGAGTGATGGCTCTTGGTCGTGCTCTCTCCCTTGGTGCTGCTAACGGCAGTCTCGGTGGTACAATCCTCAGTTGTAGTAGGAGGGGGAGGAGGAGGGGCATGAGTCGTGGGGGGCTTGCTTGAGTGTGAGTGTTGGCTCTTGGTGCTCACGGTCGTCTCGGTGGTGCAATCCTCCGTGGAAGTGGGAGGGGGGGGAGGGACGTGAGTCGTAGGGGGTTTACTAGAGTGTGAATGATGGCTCTTGGTGCTCACTGTCGTCTCAGTGGTGCAGTCTTCAGTCGTCGTGCTGTGGCCCTTGGTGCTGCTAACAGCAGTCGAGGAGGTAGTGCAGTCCTCACTTGACGTAGAGGTGCTGTGGACCTTGGTCGAGCTGACAACTGTAGACAAAGTAGTGCAGTCCTCCGATGAAGTGGTTGTGCTGTGGACTTTGGTGCTGCTGACGACGGTGGAAGAGGTAGTGCAATCCTCGGACGAGGTGGAGGTGCTGTGCTCCTTGGTCGAGCTTACAGCTGTTGACGATGTAGTGCAGTCCTCAGAGGAGGTGGAGGTGCTGTGAGCCTTGGTGCTGCTGACCCAGGTGGACGATGTGCTCGTCTCAGAAGTGACGGGAGTTGAGGATGAGTGCTCCTTGGAAGACCAAGTAGTCTTGGTTGCCTCAGTGGTACTGACGGTGGTCGGGAGGGCGGGAGTGCTGGTAGTCCACGGGGCCGAGGTGCTGGTGGTGGGAGGAGCCGTGGTGCTTAAGCTGTAGGTGATGCAGGAGCAGGCAGAGGAGACAGCCTTGACATCTCCACCACAGTTGTTGAAGTCGGTGGGAATAGCAGCGGCAGCAGTGGTGGTTCCGTGGAGGAACTCGACACAGAAACCTTTGGCCTCCTCGGCGAAGCGTTCGTCAATGAGGTTGCGGTAGCACCCATCGTGTTCCTGTAATGGGTTAATGGAGAGTTCTCATCAATTGTATAGTTCATCCCGTGAAGCAGTGACTGAATAAGACGAAATAGGCAATATGATATGGTGTAGTCAAAGTAGACAGGGGTATGAGGAGACGTACACAATAGGGGTATTCCCAAGCATTGACGGACGCCAGGGCAATGGCGCCCAGTCCCATGTAAAGGCCGCGCATATTGAATCTTGTTCTTTTGGAAGCGAATGACAGTGACTTTGAAAGTCTACTAGTTGATTGGAGCGAGAGGACGATTTACTCGTAGCGACCGTGGGTAAGGAGAGAAAGAGGAGACACGAACCATAGTCTCGGCGCGGCGAAGGGGACTTTATCAGAACGTAGACGAGGGTGTGGATGGTTGCCGGTTGCTGGAGGTTACGTCGGGCCACGGCGGGGAGTGATGCATCCATCACCCATCACCCATCCATCCCACCAGGGCGGGCTGGCTAGCAGAATACGAGCTGGAGCCGCAGCACGGCTCGTGGATGATCTCTTGGTCGCCTTTCACCCATGTTCCCACCCAGCCATCGCACGAGATGAGGCACCATGTCGATATGCAAGGTAACAGTAGTGCCCTTGCTGTCAGGCCGGGCTACATCATGGCCATGGCATAGCTGCCAGTAAGCAGAAGGTTGCGCCGGTGGTCTACTAGCGAGCCCAAGGCCACTCACACCACGTAGGGCGAGTTCAAGGTTGACCAGTCACCGGTCAACCGTCGGTGATTCTGTCGAGTTTGGGTACATGGCGTATAGGCGATGGTGGCGTCCGTCAGCTCGTACCGATGGCTAGTGTGATGTTCTATCATGACTTAGACGGACCAGGAATACAGCACTCGTCGAAGACGGGCGAAAGTTGACGGCGAGATATGGTCGCCATGGTGAAGGAAACCACCCGGAGAAAGCCGGGTCTGTCAGAGACGGGAGTGACTCTGGATTGGAAGCAGTGCTCGAGAAGTGAAGGGCCCGGTGTTCCAGTGATGATCTCAGAGGGTGGAGATGGCACCAGGAACACGGTGGATAACTTGCTGGAAGAATCTGGAGGATCTTCAAGCATAAGGAGAAGCGGAGTTCGATGGAGCAAGGTTGTCGAGTTGATAACCCTTGCGTTGCTCCGGTCATTGGACGGTTGTTTCGACGTTTGTCGACGGCGCATCGGCCAGGTCCACAAGAGGCAGTCGAAAGTGGAGTTGATGGGTAAAGTTTCTTTGTAGGCTTGCAAAGTCTGTTTCTTTTCTTCCGCTGGCCGCCTCCAACGGTGCGGTTCGACGGCGTGGATGGCGTACAGTAGACGGGTGGACTCGAGGTTGGAATGACAACTCGCGTGGGAAGAAGACCGGCGGAAAATCCAAAAAGGTCCCATCTTCCTGCCTTCCCAAGTTTCCCCCTGCCTCATGGCTTTCGCTTAGCGTGCTCTAGCCAGGGGTAGCCTAGCCTATCGGATGACCGAGACGACCGATCAGAGCCAATCAGTGACAGCCTTAGCCAGATTGGGACGGACATGTGGGGCATCGTCAGCTCTATCCGGTGGGGCACTCGCTGCCTCGCTGGGCAACTGCCAACTCCAGGAAAGCATCGCGCCTTCCTTGTTGTATAGGAGGGCACAGCTCGGCTAACACGGAAGTTGCCAACTGAGATGTTCTTGCCATCTACCTTGGGCACCATGTTTCTTTTTTTCTACACAATTCTTCGAGACTTTGTGCGTCTGCCTACGTCCTGGGAAAGTTAGGTAAGATCGGTACGTGTCTTGAATTTATGCAACCTGGAAGTGCGCTCTTGCATTCGCAGCCGGGTCTCCTTTCGCTTCCCCAAGGCTTCTTATTCTCCCGCCCGCATTCCTCGACGCTTGACTTTCCACTTCGCATGAGCTCGACCCAGGTAGCTTACCATGGATACTCAGCATGGTATTCAAGCTTAATGCTAGTCATTCTTATACGATGGGACAACAATCACCAGCTTCCAACCCCTACCCCTCCGTCAGGTGCTGGGCTGGCTCGCCGTTTCTTCCACCGCTAATCCCAATCAGGACACGACAACAGCGTGCTCTCAACTTTTCACTTTGGCCTCACGAACGCTCCCTTCTCGCTCAACTTACGAAAAGACCGAATTACGGCCATGGCCTAAGAAAAGAAACCAAGCTTGAGGCGTTTTGACACCCTGGCCGCGCCTAATGCACAACGCTGCACTCCGTCGCCTTACTCGCCCGCCCTTTTCCGTCTTGTCTTCCTTGCAGCTCGCCGCTTGCTAGCTCGCTGTTCCCCTCACGCCGCCGCATCATGCGTTGCTAGGAGGGTTGCTACAACGCCTGTTGTCTTTTGCTCACTCGACGACCTCATTGGAAAAGATCTTTTATCATAGCGAGATGACGATGGACGCCCATGAGGTAATTTCGCGCGGATTTCCACCCTCCCATCCCACCATCTCCTAATACTTACCCGCCTAGAGTATTGCTACTCACACTTGACTTTTCTCCGCAGACTGTCGGCACTTTACAGCATCATCCCACCATCTCTGGCACGTAGGCTGCCTGGCAAGGTCCGTCGTCGGCTGCCTTCGCCCGACCAACCACCTGGCTGAGTCACCTTATTGCGGCACAGCGCTGCGTCGTCACATCGTCGCTTGACCTAAATCTCACGATGGATACGAGAATCCCCTCACTTCCGGCGAGGGCCGCGGGGTTCCCGCCACTCTGCATCGCATCGCTTCGCCCCAGTGCTGACCGACCTTCGTCAACCAAAACAAGCTTTTGACCTTCACACCTGCAGTAAATCGAAGCGTTCTCACGACGATACTCACCGCAAGTCGACCGTGCCTTCGATGAAGTTCCACGGCCGGTCGATTCTCTATGTGGTCCCAGTTGCACGTACGTCGTTAGTTGCCAGACATGCTATCGCGCTAGTCTGGCTGAGATCTGGGGAAGTTGAGCGGCACAACATCCCATCCCATCACCTGTTCCACGACCAAGTCCAAAAACGTCGATCAACCCTCACCTAACCCTCGCACGTGATTCTCGTTCATGGAACTCCTATCGAAGAGACAATCGGCCGCTGGTCCAGGTACCTAGGTGTGTGGTGGCCGAGTACTGTAGTTTACTTCAGCTGGCAGCTTGGCAATCAAGCCACTCCCTTGCACCCGCAGACAGGCGCAACGTTGCTTCACGTTGAGCCACCACGACGCCGCTTGAGGGGACTGCGCACAGCCAGGTAGGTCTCTCAATGCAAGCATAGGTGAAGTCTTGGAACAGGGTCCTTGGTCGACATGCAACTCTTTTCAACTGGACTGCATAGGTTTGGATCATCGACTGAGACTTCTTCATGGACGCGCCCAGCTTCCCTTCCCTCTAAGTTGGCTTCTGCGATCCCTCGGACCCGCCGGCAAACACGAAGTACAGCTAGGAAACGCTTCCTTCGCATTCATGTTGCAGCCTATTCTTCGGGTACCTCGGCTTCTTCAACTCTACCCTCCAACTTGCTTTTTTTCGAATCAGACCATTGTGCTGGACTCGTCTCGTGACGTCAAGTCCCCCCCCCCCCTTGTTTCACCGGTCACGGTCCACTACGCTAAATCGCCTCGGCCCCGCGGGATTTCCTCCGTGAGTGCTAGGCGGACCAAGATCAAGAGGCCCCGAAGCCTTCGATTATTTAGCTTCTGTCGATTGGCCACTCACAACACGACACTCTAGTGATACAAAACGCGCTGCCATTGATAGTGTCTCCCGAACGTTTGGCTCTACTTCGCTAGCTGGACGTCGATGTATGCATCTCGATCTGTTGATTGGGCCTCGTCTAAGTCAACTAAGGCGGTATTCGCCTTTTTTTTTTCTTTTTAGTTATCGACATCAACGAACTCGTATCCACAGCCTTCAGCTATGATCTAGCAGAGTTAACCAGAGGTGGCTGCTACAGAGAGGGAGAGACACAACGGGTGGTGCAGGAAAGCTAGGACTAGATTCAACGCTACAGTCCCCATTTGCGATCGATGACTCTAGCCCATTCGCGATCGTTGTCGGAGCAAGAGTTGGTTTTACTCCAGAAGCGTCAAAACTGGAAAAATGGCAGCCACATTTGACATTCAAAAAGGAGTCAGTTATCGGTAAGCGATAAGATATCCAGTGGTCCTGGTGTCGCGAATGACGAAGTGAAATGAATACGTGTTGAATACAAGAAGTCTTCAAGGAACTTTTTCTATTATAAACCCGTATATACTTATAACGCGTCGTGTAGAGATTGAACGCCCTTAGCTTACCTAGCTTGTTATTAAACAAGTAAAAGTGCGAAAGAAACGTTTTCTCTAGGCTATCATTAAGGAAGGCTTGCGTATTTATTTATCGGTTATACGCTAAATGTCGAAAGAAGTCCCCAGAGGCGGCGATACTTTTAGAAGCGTATACCTGCTGGAGTGAACTCGCGTTAGATACGCGGCGCAGGGGACTTTTTGCTAGGCCGAAGTCTGGGGATAGGATATAGACGAGTCTTGACTGGGCCGATGGCTTGAGGTAGATATGGAGAGATTGAAGTTGATGGAAGGAACGCTCGAAATTATGGTTGGGCATGGGAAATGGAAATATCGGGGGAGGAACGTGGCGATGATGGAACTGCAGGAGGTCTTCATCGAGGTATGTTCCTGTCACAATCTGGCGCGTGTGGCTCGTGCGAAGACAATGTGCTGACGCTCAAGGTAGTTGCTGCGAATGTATGATCTGGTCCTGTGTGAACCGACGAAGCCGTGGAAGTCATTGAATTACGGGATGTTCCTGCAGTCTCAGTTCTGGATCGAGGCATATGCCATAAGAGAACACGTATAATGCGGAGACCGTGGGGAGAGTGTCGCACCCTTGGCTATCGTTGGTCTCTACAGACGAACATAGATAGCGGCAGGGAATGTTTGCACTGCGGCTCGTTTCCAATCTAGCAATGAAATGATGTCTGCGTCAATGCCTGTCTCATTTTTTCGACTTTAAATGGGCACCAGCTAGGCCAAACAGGACTGGGGATATGAGAATCGAGAACAGTGCTGTGTGACACTTTAGCACTGTCCATGCACGGTTGGCCAGCCAGGCTTGGACAGATCGTATTGAACAGATCGAAGGAGTCGTCCTGACATTCCCTACCAAATGGCCTGGTATGTCGAGCGACGGAACAACTGCGCCGGTTGAGCTTCATCAATTGAGGGTCAGATAGTCGGAGAAGACGTAGCGTGCATGTCCAATTGCGTCCTTCTCAAGAAGTAATTAGTTAGTGAGCGGCGCATTGAGAATGGGCGCGAGAACGTCTGCAAGTGCCAAAGAAGACAAAATGGCGGTTGAGTAGGAGAAGGAGCGGTCAAATACCACAAGCATGGAAGAAGAACAGAAGCTCGAGGAGGCAAACAGCCATTCCGTGCATCGAGCCGGCAAAGCACGACACCGGCGGGAGGCTGCAGAAAGACTCCCAGACCATCCTGTCCGCTTTTGACCCCTGGCCAAACGAAGATGCAGACGAAAAGAAGGAGTCGGGATTCCATCCAGCCTCAGAAATAGCTGTCTTCCAATGCCCTGATCATTTGATTGTTCATGTAAAGCCAGTTTCCCAGCTGCGTTCCCTGTTGGTCGACCTCCATACCAAGATCTCCGGGCATCGTGAACGACCCCCCGGACATCCAGCTACTTCCAATATTTTGCCCATCGAATGCGGCGTCCAGGCAAACCTGAGACTCTTCCGTGGAAGGAAACTCCGTTTGAGGTCCATCTTGCGTGCCCAATCCCTGACCTGTCAGTGCTACATTTTGGTGGACGGAGGACGGCGTCATCAGTGATGTTGCAGCAGCAGTCGCCCAGACGCCGGCACTAGGGTCAAGTGTCTGAGGCGACTCGTTTGTCTTCATCTTGATATAGCTGCAGGCAACGTCGTACAAAACCTGAAAGAGGCGAATCTCCTTTTTGACACCTGTGGAGAAGTCGTCGGCTAATAACGACTGAAGAGAGCCAATGAGCCCGCCTAGACGTTGGAGATCTGCTTCGTTGCACGTCTCGATTACATGGCAGAAGAGAACTGTGAACGGCACGAATGGAGATTGCAAGAGAGCCCTAGTTGCAAACAGTGTCAGCCTCGTCCGCCAGGGAGTTGTGTTGGGGTGATCAGAGAGTACCAATTCACGTAAGTCTCAAGAAAGTCTTCGTCTAGTTCATGTATTATCGCCATGCACTTTTGGTGTTCTTCGAGGGCTTGGCGGGCGGTCGCAATGCACTCCTTTCCGAAGACGGTGCCCTCACCTTGCTCTGCTGGGATGGCGCGGTATATAAGACAGAAGAGCGATAAGTGAGTCAATCTTTGAGTGCTAACGAAAGCTTCGTAAAACAACTCCCCGACGGCACCTTTCATTGCTTGAATATACCGTTTCTGTAGCGTTGTAAGATCTACCCGTACCTTGAAGAGTCGGGAAGCTGGAGCATTAGATGCGAAATCACTTACATCTTCTGGAGAAACCTTGGTCGTATGCGCCCCTAACTCAGAAGCCAGACGTCTTGCTTTGGCCACCCTGACTGACTGAGGTTGAATTAAGGCAGCGGGGCTGTAGATCTGATCATATACCATGCCCTGTAGTCGGGCTAGCTCCGTCCACTTCTGTAATTGGCCAAAGATAGCCTGCTCGGACCTTGAATTAATGGCCATGGGCGGGACGGTGATGTCATTGTCGCGTATGGTCGAGGATCGACCAAGCCGGAGAGAGAGCGCCTTCTCATGGACATATATCAACCAGAACAACTTGAGTTTCTCCCTCTTAACTTCAGGATCGTCATTGATCATAGTGACGATACTATGCATGCCGAGGGTCTGGCTCATGTGGCTGGCTGTGGCTATGAAATTCCATGCCGCAGAGGGTTTGCAGACATCGAGGCAGTACGTTGCCTGTAGAGCGTATTAGCGGTGACAGGTGATGAGTTGTGTAGTGCATGCACGTACAGCCAATGTCATCGCATAGGTAGTGTCCATGGTCGAGGGTAGATGGAATGGCAGACTCGAAAGGACAGTCTCGAGATTGGCTCGACACATGGTGGCTTGCTCAGTGTAGTCTGCTTTCTTGTCTGGGTCTGTTGTGACATTCTTGCACTCCAGGAAGAGCCAATAAAGGCCTGCGTTGACAATTATAAGATCTGCATGGGCTGCATATCCAGGAGAATACACCTTGAGAAAGTAATCTGTGAAGGCAGACACTGAACTCGCTTCATGGTTCCAGAAGAACTTTACACGACGATGCTCTGCATGAGTATTAGTGTACTGTAGTTACCTTGTTTATGGATATGTGTACCTTTGGCCAGTCTAAGACAAGCGAATGCGGATTGCACAGGGGGCATAGGAAGATCGCGGAGACCCTGGCCCGGCTCGAGGGTTCTGGCATGGGGATAGAGGTATTCGGGCTCTTGCTCCCTCTTTTGGTTTCCGATGGTGCGACTCATAGTGTCCAGGACCGAAGCCATCTCACCAGTGATATCAACCGACGGCTTGTTGCTGACGGCATCTCGGAGAAACCTGTCCGCGAAGGCAGCCTGGGCTGACAGTGATGATTCCCCCTCGTATTCAAGTTTTGGTGTCAAGATTTTGCCATTGTCGCCGCTAGCTGGTGAAGGTACAGTCAGATTTCCTGCCGTGCTGTTGTGAGCAGATGCAGGGCTCACAGATGACGATGAGCGATAGGATTTGGTGGATGAGTTTTGTGGCTGAGACCGGCTGTCTGCATCTCCCAGAGCATGGCCGAGTTCTTCGAGCTTCTTTGCTATGAAGTCAATCTTTCTTTCACTGTTTCCTTGGTTAATCAGACGTCATCTTGAAAGGTCGCTCATCACATACTAGACTTCCGAAATGAAGATTCTTTGTCGTCGTTCTTTGGGCCTTTGCCTCTCGGGATACGTACACGGTGCGTCTATGCGAAGACAATAGGCACACGGATGTCGGCGATCGCATCGCACTTTGCGACGGCGACATCGATCACACTTGATCAGGAAAGTCAGCACACCATGAGCATGACCTTGGAAGGCGTGAGGAGATTTTACGGATATTTTAGACAGTGGAATCTCATCATCTTCATTTTCTTCGTTGTCATCATGGGCCTGATCCATGGCTTCGTGCAAGGTGCTCGCGGTCCCGGGGTCTGCGTCCATATTGTCATCCAGCGCAAGTGCAGACGATTCCAGCGGATTGGGTCGATGTCAGTGCGGGTGCAGCACGAAGGCGCCGTTGAGATGAACGCGAAAAGAGATGATGGTAGGAGGCGGAGCTGTTGTTGGTCAGGGAGGCGCAGCAAAGGTGCGGAGCGGAGCTCGCTTCCAGCAGCTTGCGATTGGTCGAGCGATGCGATTCGTAACTTGCGACGAATTGAGTTATGCAATACGCAAAGCGAGAGCAAGAACGGGAGAAATAAGGTACGCCTTTCTGCACCAGTGAATCTCTTGCCAGAGGCAGAGAGATAGGCGGACGGTTGGACGGGGCGTACGAGCTGCCCGCGGGACCCGGTTCTCGGGGTTTCTGGGTCTTTAGGCCCCGATATTCATCTCGAAATGACACCTGAAATGACGCGCAGGTCTCAGAGTTGGGTAAATTCTGGCTTTCTCCTGATCCACGTTGTCGAGGTAGCTGAAAACGTCGTGTTCTGTGGGTTTTCTGGGGCAGGGGGTGCGGTCGAGGACTCTTGGATTCCCGCACTCCGCGGTTGACAAGCGCATGGCAGGCGCATGGCAGGCGCATGGCAGGTGCGCGGGCAAGGGGTCTTGGCGTCCCGCCCTACCGGCGCCCCAGTGCGGGACGGAAGGCGCTGGGCCACCGGCGCAATCGATCTGCGTGTGAACCTAGACCGGCCCGGGGCGGGGTCGGCCTCCTTTCTCTGCCTGCCGCCCATTTCGGCAGGCGAAGCCATGATTAGGTTTGTTTTGAGACGCGAGCTTCGTATTTTAGAAAGAGCCTCCAGCGCTGCTTTTTTTCCGAGCCGTGCGTGAAGGAAGCTTTCCCTGCCCTGTCTTCGTCTCAGTCTTTCCCTTTTCTGCATCTACTACGCGGCAGCGGGCAACAACACCATCCTTATACTTTGCTCGCCCCGTCTGAACCTCGCACCTTTCATCCCTTTCTGATCTCGTCTGCTCCTTCCCACACTTTCTAAGTACATAAACCTTGTGTCTCCTCCCCCCTCTCCCACCGGCCTGCTGCTCTTGCTCGATACTCGCATTTCTTCGCGAGCCGCAGATCAAGCACGATGGAGAAGGCGGATGTCTCCTCGAGCTCTGCATCCGCCGAATCAGCAAAGATCTCGAACAAAACCGACGGCAAGACGACGACAGGTTTCGGGGGATTTCTGGTGCGGCGCTCTTTTTATGGGATGGGACTGGTAGGCAGACGGACTAACACCGTGGCAGAGAGTCTTCAAGTATGGAGAACCGATCGACTATGCCCTCGAGGCAGTCGGCATTCTTGCTGCCATCGCTTCTGGCGTGGCCCTGGCGATGATGAACCTGATTATTGGTGGTATGATGAACCTGATGAGCGACTTCTCATCCATCACGGCAGACCCTGATAAGTTCATGGCCAAAGTCAGCAAGAACGCGTACGGAACCTGTGCAACGCGTCCTGATTCTAAAAGTTATCTGACTATTTCTCAGACTCTATTTCGTTTACATTGGCATCGCCCGATTCGCCACGACTTACGTCTACTCCGCACTCTTCACCTACGTCGCCTTCAAGCTTACCCGCAACGTTCGACGAACATACCTCCAGGCCGCCTTGAGCCAAGAAATCAGCTTCTTCGATCACGGAACTGCTGGCTCTATCGCGATGCAAG